TGCACTAAATGTACTACAACAGAGCAATCACAGATAAAACAATTTACCAGATATCACACTCATTTACAAATACAATAAAATCATATACACTATAGACATATCTATACCAAACATACAATGTACAAAACACATGCACTGAAAAAATCAGCAAGTACACAGAACTTGCCCGGGAAATAAGGCATCTGTGGAGGATGAATAAGGTGCTTATTGTACCTGTTGTTCTCTCCTCTACTGTACAGGTTTCATACCACACACTACACAAAAGCTTGGGCACATTACAATTGAATAGAAATGCACACATCACACTACAGAAGGCCACCTACAGTCCATTTCAAAATTATAAACACACCCAACTTTTTTCAATAACAAAAACATTAACAATTGTAATGTATTTATTATATTAAAATATCATTTACGACATCAATTTAAACATTTTCTGAAATTTTTAGAACAATTTGAAAATTACAAAAAAAATTAGCACAGATTTTCAATTTTTGATTGTTTCAAAAGTATAAACACATGTGCACAAAATACCGATTTGTGATATTTCAATATTTTGTAGGTCTACCATTTGATTTAATTAGTTCAAATACTCTGTCAGGCATACATTTTACTAGTTTTTGAAGATGTTGTTGTTTAATATTTTCCCAACAATCCATAATAGCTAATTTCCATTAATTTACAGTATTGTATTGTCTATTTTAGCCATAAACAAGATGGCTCATAATGCCCCAAACATTTTCTGTCTGGTTCATATCAGGGCTCTGTGATGGCCAATCAATTACATTAATTTTTTTCAGCAAATCAATTTTTAGTTGACTTTGATGTATGAATAGCAGCATTATCCTGTTGGAATTGCCAGTTTTTCTCCCCCAATAAGTGATCCAAAAGTTATTAAATTTTGATACAACAGTTCTTGATACTTTTCTGAATTCATTCTACCTTCTATAAATATAATATCTGTTTTACCTCCCCATCCAAATCTTGCCCACACCGTCATAGAACCCTCACCTTGCTGTCTGTTCATTCTGACTTTTTCGTTCTTCCTCAAATCATGCCAGTAGTGACTATAACCATCAGGTTCATCCAAATTCCACTTTTTTCATCTGAAAAGACTATTTGTTTCCATTCATCTTTCCATGTCATCTTGTTTTTGGCCCACTTTAATCTAGCTGTCTCGTGCAATTGTGTTAATTTCAGTTTAGCAGTCATTTTGGTAAATTTAGCATTTTTATGATTATGCATACATCTCCATACAGTTGCTGGTGAAACTGCAATTGGCAATGTTGATGCTGCTTCTCTGACAGACAACTTGTTGACTGTCAGTAGCTGAAAAACCTTTCTTTCATTTCTAGGTGTAAGGAGTTTAGGCCTTTTGCATCGCTTATTTCTGCCATAATTTCCACCCTGAGNGAATAAAATATCTAATTATTCTTAATATAATGATTTACTATATTGCCCAGAAAATTGTTTTTTACCCCCCAAAATATAAATTGTTACAAATCACCCCCTTAACATGGAAAAACACCCTCATGGGGGCGATATCGCCCTTGTTGAGAAACACTGTTATAGGCATATCCATTCCAAATACTCACAATGCACAAAACACATGCACTGAAAAAATTAGCAAGTACACAGAACTCATCCAGGAAATAAGGTATTTGTGGAGGATGGATAGGGTGCTTATTGTACCTGTCGTTCTCTCCTGTACAGGTGTGATACCACACACACTACACAAAAACCTGGGAACATTACAATTGAATAGAAATACATACATCACACTACAGAAGGCCACTATATTGAATACATGCCACATTGTTAGGAAATTTTTGAATATAGACACTGACACACTTATTTGATTTTAGCTCTTGATTGCTATGCCTTGACTCTGGTCTGGCATAGTACACAGCCACCGGTGTGTACCGAGTAAAACCCACTAAATCCAACATAATAATAATAGAATATTTCATTTCATTTTTAGTTAATTTCATATTAAAAAATTTATATGATTTGTAGTCAACTGTAGAGTAGAGCTTCCATAGCAGAGTTTACAGAATTTCATTAAATTCATTTTTTATGACTACTACAGTAATACCTTGACTTACGCTACCCCGACTTACACGAATCCGGAGATACGCGATTTTAAAATCTCGTCGATTCGTCTTTTGTTTGAGTGCCATGCAACCCTTGATTANTTTCTAGGTGTAAGGAGTTTAGGCCTTTTGCATCGCTTATTTCTGCCATAATTTCCACCCTGAGTTAACACATTTCTCACAGCATGTGTAGATTGATTGAAAGCTGCCAAAATTTGTCTTAGAGATCATCCTAATCTTTTAGTTGGTATATTTCACATATTTCCAACTTTGTTAGTGTTTTTCCATGAGGCATTGCTTTAAATCACAAAAAACTGTTTAAAATTTGCACCATGTTTTTAATAATGAATGATACTCTCCTCTGTTGACAACTAATTAAACTAATAATTAATAAAAAAATTATTATACTAATTTTATTCACCTGTGTTTATACTTTTGAAACACTCAAAAATTGAAAATTTCTGATAATTGTTTTTGTAATTGTCAGATTGCTCTAAAAATTTCAGAAAATGTTTAAATTGATGTTGNAAATCTCGTCGATTCGTCTTTTGTTTGAGTGCCATGCAACCCTTGATTACTCACTCCCCTCACACTATTGTTCAGCTTACATGTTCGGGTGTGTCGCGCGGAATCAACACATAGCTATAATTTATTTTGTGTTATTTATTTCTGTGTTTGTTATATCTACGGAGACTTGAGAGACTCTATGTGGTGATTTCTTGTAACCGTGAAAGAATCGAAAAACGAGATAAGATTAACGAGAACATTTATTAGCTTATATACATCCGACTTGGATTTTACACAAATTGCAATATTATACCCCGACTTACGCGAATTCGACTTACGTGGGTATCGCTTGGTCCCACCTATTGCATAAGTTCGGGGTATTACCGTATACCAAACTGTAGATAATATGATGATGTCACTCTTATGTACCTGTCAATATTAGCCTCCTTTGTAATGTTTCTGTAAACTGATGATGATAAGTCTGTTATTTGGATATTTCATAATACTCTCAAATTTCTCTAAAGCTATATTTAGCATAACAATAAAAACTATTGGTATAGAAAGATTTATTATTATAGTGAGCATTTTTAAAAATGATCTTCTCTTTCATTTATTGTTGTCAGACTGCAAGTAGTGTTATTTCTACAAAGTTAATGTTAGAACAGAAAACATGTATTATTAGTATCTTCTAGTACAAGATGTGAGTGATTTTATATTTTATTTCTATAGTATATGTTAAAAACATCAAAATGCAAAGTCAGTCTGAACCTGAATCTTTCTAGCCAAAAATGAATTAAATAAAACTAAACTAATTTTAAAATATAATTTCTTAAGGAGAGAATGCTTTTTGTAATTATTTTAATAAGTGTAATTTGTAACATGAAGATATTTCCATACACTTTCTAAAAAACTTAATAAGTATAATATAACAAAATTTCCCAAAATGTATGTAGGGGGTTTCTTAGTGTTTCAAATTACACTAATTCTAAAAGTAAAAGACTTTAGCATGTTTCGGTATTTTAGTGCCTAATCTGGTAATCTGTTCATTAGTTCAATTTAAAATACTTCATTAGATTAAACTTGTGGTTGAAATAAAATCCAAAGTTGTCTCTATTAGTTTTAGATTAGTAGTTGCATATTTCGGTTAAAGTCCAGATGCGTATACTGTCATGGCAGCTCATCTCTGATTTCAGCAAACAATGGGGACACACGTTCTAACCTAATCTATTCTAATAATTTGATTGGTAATAATTATGGTAATTTATTAGAATAAGTTAGGTTAGGTTAGAACGTGCTTCCCCACTGTTTCCTTTCTTTTGTTTGCTGGAATCAGAGATGAGCTGCCATGACAGTATACGTATCTGGACTTTAACTCATATTTCTATATGTTTACTTTTATTTTATACTTTTTATACTAAAAAATTTTGAATTATTACTTGTCCAAAGATTTAAAGACTGTTTATTTCTTTAATGATTATAATTTGCAAAACAATAATAATAAAATCCAAGCATTAGTGAAAACTTTCTGATATGGATAAAGCATCTTTGAAGGGTTTTTTTATGATTAGAATAGTGAGTTGGAAAAGATGCAAATATGAATTTGATTTTATATTCCTGCATCTGACAGATATTGGAGAATATAATTGTAGTCAAGTCTAAACAGTAATAGTTAGGTAAAATGTGCTTCAATATCTAATTGTTTTAACTACTTTGGGACTCATTTCTCAACTTGTGAGAGAGAGGTGTTTGTGCAGGATATGTATATTTTATGTATTAAAATGTAAAAAACATATTCTTTTTGAAATATTCTGGATATATTGTGTTCATTTGTTGAATAAGCAAACACATGAATGATATAACTGTTTGTATTTAAGTTTTTCCTATAATTATGAAACAAACAAAATACAGTAAATTCTAAAATAAGAAATTTTGACTTTTAGCAAAAATTTTTTTAATCTACAAATGTTTTTTACATACTTAATCAGTCTGTTTGTTTTTTAAATATAAGTCTGTTTTTTAAAATTTAAATATTTTATATATTTTAAAATAAAAAGGAACTTTCAATTGCAATTATTTTGATTTTAATGTATTCCGTTTGAACATTCAAGTAAAATGTATATTGGAATTTTAAGTTGTGACTTGATGAAGACTGATTAAGTATGTCAAAAATGTTTTCAGATTAAATGATTTTTGCTGGAAGTGAAGGTGTCTTTTATTCTAGAAATTATATCTGTTTTGTGAACTTGAAATATTTATTTTGATAGCAAATTATTATACATAGTATTTTAAAATAGTAGAGGAAATACAGATTATATTACACACTTATAGAAAACAAATGTCATTTTGTTTTGCAATACAATTAATTTCATTGTTCTTTCCTGAAATTTTTATAATTGTTATATATGTTATGTCATTTTTTTACAGCATGAATGAAGCATTTTGGGAACTTAACTGTGATGAAATGCTTGCGAACGGACAAATTCAGACAGAGTTGAGCAGTATGTCCTCAACAAGACTTGGAACTTCACGTTCCCAAGATGATGCTATGGTGCGTTATTTCTTCCAAAGACCACAAAACGATCCCTACTTTCAAAGTTACAATAAACAGTCTCATTGGGCTTTGGGTGATGACAGTGTACTTGAAGTAAGTTTTGATTTTTATTTTGTTTTTTTACAAACTTATTCAAAACATTATAAGAAAGAAACAGAAAAAATTACTTTGATTGTAGGTTACATACAGAATATTTTAAGGTAAAAGTTTGCTAATGTATTTGCTTATGAAGCCAGATTTATTTATCAGTTATTAATGTACTGTAAGTGTCAGTTATCAGTACTAAATAATTTGACAGGAGATAGGCAGTTATCCTGCTATCTCTTGTTATATTTAATAATTATAAATAAATAAATTTAAGTTTAGAATATATTCTAAACTTAAATTCTGGAAGAAAAGATTGGTCCAGAGCAAGTTTTAGTCCCATTCCAGGCCAATCTTTTCTTCAACAATATTCTAAAATTAAAAAATAACATGCATGCACCTTATTGTGCAGAGAAAGTAGTGATATAGAAACAGAGCTAATTTAGGTGTTTTAGTTGTTTGTATAGACTGGATTCAAATCCCGGGCAACTCAAGGGTGGGAGAGTTGCAAGGAGACAGCAGAGTGGTGAAGAGGGCCTCCCAAATGTACACCAAATTTCGTTCCTCACAGCACCTGAGCATCACACAATCCCAAAGTGGGATGTGGTGGTGCTGCACAACCATCTTAGATGGTACGGTGTCTCAGCTGCCCCCTGCGACAGAATGTTGGTGCTCTGTTATGTGGCTGGATAACATCCTGGTGGTCGCCCCTATATAGTGGTTGTGTGCCGCAGACATTGGGTTTTTCTAACGGAATAGAATATACGCCTGACTTTTCTATGATCAAAACTGCATACCTGTCGTTACATAAAAGCCTTCTCAGACTGGGGTGTGGGGTGATGGTTAAAAGTAAGGCATTTTGCCTAAAAATATGGCAAATCCGTGGTGTGAGGCAGCCATAAAACAGCAGAGGTGGGCAGACTACTGTCCAGTCCCTTGGGCTACGTAAGGTAGGTGGAATACATCTACAGTAGAGCGTCGTTTATCCAAATCAATTGGGGACTGGGGTTGTTTGGAAAATTGATATTTCGGATAACCGATTATGTGCAAAAAAATATATTAACCCAGGGGTGGCCAACTGTTGTGTACATAAGATCTACTTTTTATCTTAAAAATGTGTCACAATCGACTCGTTGTCGTAGGCATAGTCTAAGTCAGGGATGGGCATTCTGCGGCCCGAGTCGCATAAAATGTGTATAAATACATCAATTTCCTAGCTTAAGAAGTATGCAGCAAAAATTCAAATGTTATTTTCTACAACTTATGTGTGTGAATAGTTTTTCCTGCAATGAATTTAGTAAAAATTAAAACGAGAAACCGGCTAACAGATTTACCTCGAAACTAATTTAAAACTAGCAGTGACTAATATTTAATCAAATATTTTCGATACATTATGTTTACATCAGTTCTAGAAGCTAAATTAAGTATACCTATTTTATTTTATAATTATATATGAATAAATAATTGTGATTTACCAGCATTTTCCCCCCTTTTTTATCTTGTATGTGGCCGGCGTTAGTTCAAAAGTTTTGAAATGTGACCCTTACACAAAAAAAGGTTGCCCATCCCTGGTCTAAGTGGCGAGAGGGAGGGAGGTGTGAAATACATACTAAGTCTAGATAGAAAAGAAAAGCCACAATTTAATTTAAAACACGAAGAAAAGGTACTTACATTTTAAATAGAAGAAAAAATGAAACTCAACGTTGTCACTTTCGGGGACCACCACTTCACCCTTTTTCTCTTTACTGTGTCCCGACCTACTCTCTCTGTCCCTTCTTTTTTTCGGTTTTACGACCCTTTGTCTACATTTCTTATTTCTCTTTTACAACTGTACGCAAATGGGTTGCACGTGGACCGACAAAACCGCATCTGAGGGAGAACGAGAAGGTCTGATATCATTATAGTTGCATTTGTGCATTTCGTTCACGCGTTGCGTTCGGTTACAACTTACAAATGTAACACATTAAGTCAAGACCTCGCAAGCGATCGACCAAAATTGGTTTTGCGATCGACTTGTTGGCCACCCCTGTATTAACCTATCCCATGTTGAAATTTTTCTCTGTTGCGTGTCGCTTCACATTGAATTTTCGTTGATGTTAAGCCTAACGAAGACTATTGTATCGTTAAAAATTATTTTTTTATTTTGTACAAACAAAATAAATATATTGAAAAATATAAAAACAATAAAAAATTATACTTCAGAAGTTAATTTAGTATCAAAAATGTAAAATATTTGAGTAGCCCATTACATAGCCAAAGATTGCAGCGCCACAGCACTGGCGAAAATTTAAATTTGCCGACTGAATTCTTTCGGATAATTGACTTTCGGATAAACGATGCTCTACTGTATATCCTAAACAGATTTAAAAGATCAAAGAGATCTTTTAACTCTGTTTAGGATATAGTTGTCTGTATTTGGTGGAGCCATATCGTGCTGCACATATCACTGTGCAGATGATCTCCAATTCAAAGTTGGTAAGATGTTGTGTGGAAGGCACCAAAAAGGCCCTTCTGATTAAAGGGGCAATGGCTGCATTAATATACTGTAGTGGCTTAAATGCTGTATTACAAATTTTGAATTGGAGATCATCCGCACAGTGATATGTGCAGCAGGATGTGGCTCCACCAAATACAACTATATCCTAAACAGAGTTAAGATACCTTTTTCCACCTACTACCTTACATAGACCAAGGGACTGGACAGTAGTCTGACCATCTCTGCTGTTTTATGGCTGCCTCACACCACGGATTTGCCATATTTTTATGCAAAATGCCTTACTTTTAACCATCACCTCACACCCCAGTCTGAGAAGGCTTTTATGTAACGACAGGTATGCAGTTTTGATCATAGAAAAGTCGGGCGTATATTCTATTCCGTTGGAAAACCCAATGTCTGGGGCACACAACCACTATATAGGGGCGACCACCAGGATGTTATCCAGCCACATAACAGAGCACCAACATTCTGTTGCAGGGGCAGCTGAGACACCGTACCATCTAAGATGGTTGTGCAGCACCACCACATCCCACTTTGGGATTGTGTGATGCTCAGGTGCTGTGAGAAACGAAATTTGGTGTACATTTGGGAGGCCCTCTTCACCACTCTACTGTCTCCTTGCAACTCTCCCACCCTTGAGTTGCTCGGGATTTGAATCCAGTCTATACAAACAACTAAAACACCTGCATTAGCTCTGTTTCTATATCACTACTTTCTCTGCACAATAAGGTGCATGCATGATGTTATTTTTTATTTTTAAACCTTTTGTTAAAAACGGCTGAGTGCCATTTCTATTTCCTGTGCTGTAAGATGTGTGAGCGATGATGATACACAAATTTAAATTCTAAAACTAAATTTGTTTACTTGTTTATAATTAAGTTTAACAAGAGATGGTGGATGGCTGACTACCTCCTGCCAAATTATTTAGTAAATATTTAACATTAACAGCTGATAAAACGAATCCAGTTGTTTGATATTTGATTAAGTATTGGATTAGTTGTATTTTTGAATTGTATTCACATTATATTTTATATTAGAGAGATTGCAGCCATCGTATTCAGCCTAAAACATGAACAATGAACTGTCGAGCGCCGCCACCTGGCAATTCTGAACAGTCGATAATGGCAGTTGCTATGTCTAGCATGGCGAGTAGATGATCGGCTTAAACTTTTTCATTTTTTTGTGTTTGGGGTTAAAATTATGACCTATTTTATTAAAATAATGATTATTTAAGCAGTTATGAATAATAATGTAAATAAACAGACAATTTTAATCCAGAAATTATTTAATAATTCAATTTTTTAGCAAGTGATAATTTACATATATTTGCCTTCGTAATAGCTTATCTTACGGTAGGTTTGTTCTTCCATGGCATCTTCTACCATCAACTGCTTTCGAATTTACATAAGCCACTATGTCCCTTGACAAAAGTATGAGTTAGTCCTATTGTCCAATCATAAGGTAGGAGACACCATGCTAATTAAAAATAATTATTTAGTGTTATTAAACATCCAATAAATACTTTAAAATAGTTTAATTTATTTATTTACCTTCGCTGGTATCCCTCAATGTAAAATGTATCTGCCATTTTTTCAACAAATTTCCCTTGAGTCAATGTGCAGCGTTCACTGAGTCATGTGATGTGAAGGTGTGCCAGAGCGATTTTTTTCTTGGAGTTAAAATGCAAACTATGTACCAGTAATGTTTGAACTTGTGCGGCAACCTTTCTATTTATTTATAGACCAGCAGATGAGTCCAGCGTTGCCCAGGCAAAAAACAACAACAAAGATTAAGATTATTAGATTATTTCGTACTTCTAATCCTTCTATACTAGTAGCCCGGGATGCCCCCTAGTGGGTGTTCTATCAGCAGCAGTGTCATTCCATGGTATAAATAATAAATTTCTATTACAAATAAAAATAATAATATACTGAATTTTTCATGTCTTACCCTACTAAAATGCAGCCAAAAAATGCATAAAATTGCATCAAATAATAATATAGTGAATTTGTTGTTAATTTAAATAATAGCTAGGGCACCCCTAATGGTCATTTTTGGCATACAGTGACAGAAAGAAAGAATCTGGTTTTTCAGCTTTATATGGTAGATATATATAATTTATGAATATGTTTTATCTCTATGCCATCAATTTTGACTTTTTTATTTGTATTATTTTATTTTTATCAATTTGTTTAAAGTTGTGAAAAGGGAAATTCTGTCAAACTTGTCTCTTTTAGCATCTTGCATTTGATCTTCTATCAAAAATTTCTGAAAGTTATTTCTTAAGTTACTCATATCCTTTCAATGATTTTTGGCATTCTTCCCAAAATGGTTTTATCTGGTCAGTTGACTAAATATTTACTTCAACTAGTTAAAAATATTAATTAAAATAAAATTTAACCAATCCTTTTACAACTGATAACTAGAACTAGGAATTAGTATGAAATTGAGTATTATAGTATAGGTATACCTTCCCTTACGTCGGCAATTAGTTCCAGGAGAGGCAGCTTAA